TTCTACCAACTATGGATGGTATCTATGCATTTGTGGCCAATATTATGCGTTTTGATATCTTGAGGTGAAGCTTTAATAACGTAAAGAATAAGCATTAAAAATCATTAGGATCTTAAGTTCTTGACAATGATACTTCTTTAATCAGTGCACATAAATCAATTCTTTTACAACATGTTTTGTTTGAATAACAAAATGTATTTAATAAAACTATACGTTTAAAAGTGTGTTAGTGTTATTATATGTGTGCCTCATTTAATGATATACTGTATACTAATAAATATAAAATATTATTGATATTTAATGCAATTATTTGAAAGTAATTTAATGATAAAAATAATATGTTGATTCATTGAAGTATACATGCATGTATGTTATTCAATAAATAAAACACATCATACGTAAAAAATGCACTAAACTAAATTATAATTTAAATTTTGATCACTGTATTGTTGTTTTTTTCGATTTCACTGAACTAATTTTTGGTTTACATAAAAACGTGTTATACAGCAAAGTCTAATATTAACCGTTTGATAATACTATAATACTACTAAAGGTACTTGAAATATTGATATACATTTTAAACTAGATATTAGACAAAAGAAACGATGTTTGTATTAGATTTTATATTATGTTGAATAATTGCGTACATATTTAATTTTGTTATTTATAAATCATTACATACAGTAATGAAACGTAAACACGAATGACGAATGTATATGTATAATATATATTAATTACTTTTATTCAATATGCTGATTTTAATGCTTTAATTTAATTTGATGTCAATTTAAGTTGTTTCTCTCTATTTGATTAATTTAAGTAATAATGATATTTATATTTTAAATTAAACAACTATTATTGCCATATTGATGACTTAAACATAGGTATATTTCTTTTCAGTTATTAAATTATTTTTAATGGAAACATTAATTTTTTCAAGTATAAATTATATGAATATTTTGATATTCATTCGGCCTATAATTTATTAGGCTCTGATCACTAGTTATAAACAAAACTATAGACTTTGGATTGAACTACATTCCTAGAATACAACATTGCTAATCTAAACATTTCAATCTGATTATATATAATTATATATTATTTAATGCTTGATTCCTTTCTTTCTTCTTTCGCTTAATTTAAATAGTTTGCTAGTTTATGTAGACTTTGATTCTAAAAAAATTTGTATAATTTTATCGATTAATTACTAATAAATTATAATTATCATACAATTAGTGGGCGTTATATGTGTGCATTACTTGTTCAATGCGACTGTTTTGACTGCTTGTACAATTAATGTTGTAGTATTTCTAAGCTATACATTTTAGTTTTAATGTTTACTTTTAAATATTATGACCAGAAAACATAATTTAAATCGAACCATATTTGAAATTTGTCCATTCTAGGCAATGCCGTTTTTATCCTAAGGCCACGTGGGCACGAGCTCAGGCTCCCGACCGACGGAGGATTCAAAGAATATAATATACTTTTTTACGTTGTAAAAACATAATTACACAATACTAGGTTTTAAATATGTAAATAAGTGTTAAAAAACCCATTAAAAACTATATCCCGGCCATGACTGTTCTGTGTGAAGTTAGGTAAAATAATTTTACTAAACATAATTGATTTGAAATTTTACAAAAACTGTGTTAATTAATCAGATATGTGAAATAACAACAAATACATTTTCACCATATTTTATCTGACAAAGTTCTCACACAAATCGATGTGTTACATCACATTTTCTGATCCTAGCAACTCAAGCGTGAAAAATAGGTGACAAGCCTAAAATCAATGTCATTGAATCGATAATTCACGTGAAAAATTTGCAAGAAATATGTTACAAGTATTAATTTTTAGATTGAAATAATGTTCTATAGATAATTAGATAAAATCCAGGATTTGAAGATAGAAAAAAAAAAATTCAAAAGATTCGTCAATTGGTCACTTAAGAGAGTACGCGTATACTATTTTCTTCAACCATTTCAGAAAAAACCCTGTACATAGTTAATACAGCTGAAGGGTTTACCAGTTTTTTTTATGCATATAATACTGGCATAATATAAGCATTATGCGTTTATCATAAAAACAGCTGACTATTTATTTTTTTTTTAAATTGTTATACTTAACACAGTAAAATATTTTTCCCAAAAATTGGATTGAAATGTATAAACATTTAATTTAAAGCATTATATTGTGCCAAGTAAAGATAATCCTGTGATAATAACTGTACGTAGCTTCCCATTTGATTCACACTGATAATAGTAAAATAAACCTGTTTGCTGCTATTTTCAAATTATATTATGACAAACTATAAATTTTTTTGTATATAGATAATATTTTAAATTTCATTACTTCCGAGAAGCATATTTTCAAAGCGATATTTTTGTATTTTATATCCCGTTATAGTCACTTAACATCATATATGCACAACAAAGCCCGTGATTCTTTACACAGCAAGAAACAATAAAACGCTTTGTACTGAAATTAAACCCCTCCTAATGTTGGACATTCCGAACATTTCAACTGCCACAATCCAAACATCACGTCCTTATTTTTATCTTTAGAATAACGAATATTTTCTTCGATATTTTCAGTTGGTAATCATGGGTTCATATTATTTTTATCCTCATGTACAGCGTTGGATCGAGGAAATTTGATGTCCAGGGCTAATAAAAATGCAGCGTCCTAACGTAGGTACGATATGTTTATGTTTTTTTTTGATTTTTTTCTAAACTTAAGAATGCCCATATACCAACAGTGCTATGGTCAACATACCCGCTTGTCCCCTCCCCTAGATCCAGAACTACTCATTTATAGTGCAATAGCAGTGCGATGTAAATAGTTTCCCGTTCATCCGTATTAAAAAAAAAAAATATATATATTATTAAAAAATACCAATACTGACAGGAAAAATATATAACAGAATAGTGCAATTCAACTCATATGTAAAGACGATTAATATTTATTCGTTGTCAATATAGATTGATTCGTGTCAAAATACAAATATATCGCATGCATTTTCCTCGTATATTCTGTTTTGTATTGTACGTTATGACAAAAAAATATGTATTGCTTTTAGATTTACTTAATTTAGTATAATTTTGTTGTGATAAAAATTATAGCATATTTTCACGTCATTATTTTTAGTTCAATAATGTCAGTATAGAAGCCCATAGGCACTCAACTAATCGTATTTTTTCAGCTAAACATTTAATGCGATTAGTTTGATTTTATGCAAAAATAATGATTGGATAGCATGCAAACAGAATGCAAATTAGAGCTCCTCTATACACGTGTACACGTATTCACATAAAATTAACATCAGTTTCTACCACATGTTCAAAAATCCATATTCATGTGTAATTATTTACGTGTACGCGTATATTCACGTATTCACGTATTTGAGAGTTTCAATATTTACTTTAAGTTCATAATATTGTTTTTTTTTTTTTAGAACTTCTTAATATACATACCTATTTGGTTCATTTATAACGAGGAATTTCAAATAAGATAAAAATAGAAACAATGTTGCATTAAAGAATAAAGAATAATGAATGATTTTTAAATTTGAATATTACAACAATTAGCTGTTGTTGTTGTTACAAAATAGATTTAGTCAGAATTCAGGAATCAATTTTTACAAAATTCAAATAATAAAATTATAAAATTAAATTTTATGACCACGGTTGTTTAATTTTATGCATCATTTTCAAAACTTTTAAAAGACTCAGTTATTCAATTAAATCAACCATTTTAGAAAAATATACTGATCAAACTGACCACTTTCGCTCAGAGTCGTCTTTTCGAGAATAATGGTACATTGGTCTTAACTTGAATCTTTTAGTCAACAATGTATCTCATCCAAAGTGTCGTCTTTTTTTTTAAAATAAAGAAATAAATGTTAATTGTTAAAATAAATAATAGTTAAATAAATTAACTATTATAAATTATTATACAATACTATTGATAATAAAGCAGTTTATGCTTTATAAAAAAAAGAATATTACATTTTTCAAATGTATTAAAATAAACTTTTACATATTTACTATAGTTAGTTTTGTAATTCAACCAATAGTTCCGAGTGGATATAAATAAAATAAAAGAACCTAATTCAATTTTTTTTTTTCAATCAATAGATTATATATATATATTCAAATTAAACAGTAAAAATTAAATTTATCTTACCCTTATCAGAGTTAGAATGAAAAAAGTCAAAACTAAAGTGAATCACGCCAATGGTAAATTTCGCAGTACACATAAGAGCTGAAATCAGAAAACTATTCACATTGATAGCATAACATCAAAATATTATGTATACTATACACATCAGACATTTTCTTATATAATAGCAATGTATACTATTCCGGAAAGATCGCGTTAAAAAGTGTTGACGATTCTTCATTCGTTTAGATAACATTAATAAATGTATATGCATATATATATCGACCCGTTTTGTGAAATAATGTTATAAAAACAAAATAATTATCGGCGGAAACGTTAATTCTCGATACGCAACGTAATCGGTAAATGTCGAAAAACTTGCCAGGACGCAGACAACACGTCATAACGAGCACTTAACACGTAGCTTATCATAAACATAACACTACGTTCTCGTAGTATGCAACGCGAACGAACTTGTAAATACGAATGTGCTTGGACAAGGATAAGCCTGGTCAAACAACGTTCACCGGTTGTTACGGCGCATCTATACCTAATTTATTGTAATATCATTTTGAACGCAAGCGGATGACATATTCGAAATTTTATAGTGGTTATGCGAAAACTGGTCCTGATGTGAACCAACCATCGCCGGTGTCACGTAATCCGCCGGAGCGATTTATTCTTTTGCCGTATGTTAATATTCTCGTTTCTAGAGAAAGCATCGAGATTTGAGTGTTGTCGATAAAATCAACGCGTCGCCTGCAAATTACAAAAAGAGGGATCCGAAGAAGAGCAACCGTAAGAGTCTGCGCGAAGGATTATAAATACCGGAGAGAGCCGATTTCAAGCGTCAGTTCTTCGAGCGGAAACCTTCGAGCACACAACAACTGCGGTTATCCTGCTACATACAGACAATATTACCGTTACCGCGGTCACCATGAAATTCTCGAAAGTGGTGAGTGGACATAATACATGTATTTTTGAAACGTACCATTCCTCGCACAAGTCGACAACTCGTAAAAGTCCCGATCGAACGGCAAAATTTTTAGAGTTCGGTTTTGTTTACGATTCTTTTTATGTTCGACAGTTGTGCACTAATATTTTAATAACGTACACTGCAGTCGGGCGGTAACGATTTAACGATTCTAGCACGGTTCGACTAATTTATTGTTGCTTATGATTCGGATAAAACGTAAACCTCGACAAGTGTTAGAAAAATGATTAAACGTTTTATAATTGAACAGGCTTGCGTCGTCGTTTTGGCTCTTATTGCTCACTGTGTCGCTACCAATGACTCCGAGGACAATGTCAAACAAAATAACAAGAGGAGCCTTCCTTCCGCTTTCTCCATTTCGGGTACAGGATACGGTGCTGGAATTCCGTCCTATTCCCCTGGCATCGGTCTCGCCTCCTCCGCTGTTCCAGCAGTCGGATACCCCGCTTCAGTTGGTATAGGATACTCCGCTCCGTCACCCTTCGGATACGCTTCATCGGTCGGTTATGGAATCGCCGCTCCAGCTGGTTACGGGTACGCAGCTCCCTCCGCCCTTAGAATTTCTGTTCCCGCTGGCCTTGGATACGCTCCCTCAGCTGGTTACGGCTTCGCCGCTTCTGCTGGTTACGGTATCGCCGCTCCTACTGGTTACGGTATCCCGAACAATGTGCCAACCAGAGTCATCACGTCCAACCGTGTTGTATCTGTATCCGTACCACAACCGTACCCCGTCCACGTGACTCGCCACGTACCAGTACCAGTCGCACAACCGGTTCCCGTATCCGTGCCCAGAGCCGTTCCGGTCAGCGTGCCCCACCCGGTGCCAGTCGCGGTTAACAGACCGTATCCGGTAGACGTTCCGAGAGCAGTCCCTGTCAACGTACCCTTCCCGGTTCCAGTTGCTGTAAGGAGACCAGTACCATACCCGGTACCACAGCCTTACCCAGTGGAAGTCCAACAACCAGTGCCATACTCCGTCCCGACCCCCGTCATCGCTCCAGTTTCCAGGCCAATCATCGCTACCTCTGTTCCGTACGCCATTTCTGCTTCAGCCCCGGCCGTCAACTTTGGCGCTCCTGCTTACGCATCGGGATCCTACGCCTTATCATCAGCTAACATCGCTTTGAATGCTCCATCATATGCATCCACTTCATATGGTGTCGGCGTTCCATCATACTCGTCCGCTTCATATGGTGTCGGCGTCCCATCATACTCGTCTGCTTCATACGGAGCTGCCGCTCCATCATACTCGTCCGCTTCATACGGCGCAGTTGCTCCATCATACTCGTCCGAGTCGTACAGCAACGCCTATCCATCTTATTCAGCAACGTCATACGGCTCATCTTCCACGAGTGCATCTGATTACTCAAGCGTATCGTCTAGCAGTGGACACAGCGATGGTCCTTCTTACGGAACTTCGTCAAAAACCTACAGCGAGTATAAGAAGTAATTAGATGTAAATAATTAGATAGTGATTAGATAGCATAGACTGTGTGTATTTGTTAAATATATGTAACTATATTTTATTTGAATTAAGCACTCGCTACCTACCATTGGTAATAATTTCAATCTCAAAATCGTTCGCTATGGTAGTAAGCAAATATTGCCTATTTGTTTATGTTGTTATTTTTTTATGTCGTATTAAAATTAAACATTATACTTGAAAAACAATTGCCTTTCTTCATAATATATGTAATTTAAATAATATAATACGTTGCATTTTTAAAACATAATAGAAACGTTAAATTTGAGTTGATCTTAATGTGATGGCCCGACGAGTTCGGTTGATTTGAGATGGGTCGCTTAAATCTGCCCAAAACTAGGTTAGTCAACGAACACTAAATTCTGATAGAATTGTCACTAGCGAAAAAATATAGTAAACCAATTTAGTATTTTGATCACAAATACAAGTTTGAACTTTCAAAACGTAGTAAATGTTTGAACTTTCTGTGTTTATACAGTTAATAATGAAATAAAAAACAAGTTGTTTAGTGTGCTTAGAATTCATAATCATAAGGTCAGTAATAATGTCGGCTACGTTTCACTTAAAACTCTGCGTAAATCAATGTTCGTGTTATAGGTGTATATATTTTTTTATACTCATAATCAACAAGCACATCTTTGTCACATAGTAAGTTGCATACTTACATACCATACGTATCCATAGATACTTGTAATAATTATATAATAACAGTATCAATTTATAACATGTTGTACGTGTATATTTGGTCATGTGAAAATCGGTGTTGTCGGTGATTAAAAATCAAAAGTCGATAACAAGAGTAACGGAAACTTCGAGCACCGGAAGAATGACAGGACAGTTGAAAAACTATTGGAAATCAAGAGACATATTCGAACAAGCCGATGGTTTTTAAATATTTAAAATTGTTTTTCGATTAAAAAATCTCACTCTGCACGTACTACTCACGTTCAGATCATTTCTGATCGTGATACATTCCGTTCAATTTCGATATACTCGTGGCGTTCAAAAGCAGTGCCGGGTTAACAAATAGTATCACGTGGAAGCGGATTTTAAAATTCCACCCTTCAACCCCCTTCCACAAACCAATCTATATACAACAAGTTACAACATAGAATATAAATATAAAAATACAAAGTATATTGTAACATCGGTAGTTTTTAAATGTATAGATCTTAGTAGGTACTAAATATAATGAATCAAAAGTATAATAATATGCCGAAAGCGTACTGTTTTCATCTCGACGAAACGCATATTGTTGATATAACAATGTATGTACATGAGTCACACACACCTAGGTGGTGTTAAAAATCTGTTTTTAACGTTTAGCGATAAGAAGATGTTAATCGTAAAATATTACAAAAATATTCGTTCGCAGTTCACCCGGAAATCGTTACACGCGCACGAGAGCGGACGACCACTTTTTTACGTTTTTTCCACGTCCGTGGAGTTTGCCCGACCTATGTGTGTTTTAGCGCGTAAAACGATACAGGCCTACGCGCATTGCCGACGTCACACTTGCGAACGAATAAATTGTAAACATGACGATTGTGAATTACATTAAACCAGTGTTTCCCAAACTTTTTGCGATGGCGACCCATAAGCTTAATCTTTTTTTGGGTACGCGACCCCCTGCTAATAAAAAAAAAAAAAAATCAAGTTAGACTTCACAACATAGACTTTATATTATAGAGGTATAAATTTACGGCTAAAACAACCGTAATTGTAACCGCGAGTGGTGATCCATCAAAAAAATTTCGCGACCCATTGAGTCACGACCCATGGTTTGGGAAATGGTGCGTTAAACTGTAGGCACAACTTATTGCGCATATCGCGGACCGTATAAAGCCGAGGCCTCACGGATACATAGCTAAGCGTGCTATGTACGCGATGTCCGGTATACGAATAGAAAAACGGTTTTCTGTACTGACGGACGTAAACGTTTCGTTCTCGGCTCAAGACGCATCGCCGAGTGTTTGATTTTTATGGTTTTTCAGCGGGTTTGCACGTTTCCTCCGGCATGTTTAGTGTTTACCACTTGCGAGTCACCAGGGTACACGGAGAATAAACTCATTCGTCACATTATCATTATTTCATTTTTACACAAAGTAATGGACGATAAGATTCGTGTCGATTCTTATTTACATTTTTTTTTTTTTTTTTTAAGGGACCTCCGATTAATAGTTCAACCTTTGCCTCCCAAGGTTTAAATCCGGTACTGTGTGTGTCACCATAGCGGAAATAAAACGTATGGGCGCAGTGCCGGATTGACTTACGATTGACGCGCTCGGATTTGGGTCGCGTAATGAAACGTATATTCACCTATAAAAATACACCGCTAAGCACGTGTCGATATCAGCGGCAAAGTCGAAGTGACGAAAGATGCACGCATTGTTAATATGAATTGTTCGTGATATAATCAACAGTATTCTATTCAAGAATAAGTACCGTTTAACAAACGATAGAAGCTGTTACGATAAAATACAAAAAAAAAAAAAGAAAAGAAAAATAAATAAATTATGTTAGAAACTTAATAACTTATAAGTAATGTAAACTAAGATAAAAATGTTTCAATCATACAGTAATTATTAACTATATAGGTACTAAAGAATAAATTTATTTTCTTTCAACGTATTAGCTTATACATTTCAATTTGGATGTATATATTCATCGTATAAAGCTGTATGGTTTTTTCTTACAGAAGCCAATAAAAATAAAACAAAGTAAATTAACATACACCTCAGTACACGTATCATATATTTGTCCCATACTTATGGGCGTAAGGCAGGGTCGGTTTTGCACATTTATTTCAAACGGCGGAATTTCACAATGTATTTATAAATGCTTAATACGACAGAATTTAATGTTTGCAAAGTATCACGTATTAATTGTTATACATATTATAGCGCACAACATGTATACCATTGACGTGATTTACTAAATGAGAGAACTTTCATTATCAACCGGTATAGGTCAATGGCGTATATAAGTTTTAATTTCCGAATATGTATTTGGTTTTAGGGGAGAAGGGAAGGCGTAAGCGCACTATTACGACAAAAATTACTTGAACGCTATAAGACTTCTCAACTGTTTTTACACCATCAGAGAAATAAGAAACTCAATTTTTTTTTTATGATTTATAATTTTAAAAAAAATATAAAAACTATATTTAATTAAACAATTTTTTTTATTAGAGTCGCTCAAAAGTCATCACATAATTTCTTACAAGAATAAATATATTATACATATATATATATATATATATATATAATTTTAAATTATCGCATAAGCAACATTCTCCGTGTTGCGACACATTTTCGGAATAACCCCCGACCTTAAGACATATCCATGTCAAAAATAAAATTTTTTAACAATGGTATTTTTTCATTTCGGGGAAGGCCCTTTCCTCCCCTCCCATAAATACGCCACTGGTATAGAGTGTTGCCATACTACAAATGAGTATAAATAAAGGGAAATCAAAGACCTTTTTTAAAAAAAAAAATGAAAACCACAAAAAATCAGTTTATACTTACTAAACAAATCTTAATTCATTATTCACCACAAATAGTTATAATAACAGACGTATTTTAATAAATAATTTCATAAAAATATACAATTTAAAGATGAAATTGTTTCACCGTAATAGAGATTTCCTATTAAAAGACAACAGTTGACTTTTTTCTTAACTTAATGATGTATCAAAATCCAATTTCACTTGTTCATATTGTTCTCATATGGAATATATTAATATATTATGTATAACTTAAGTATTCATTTAATCAATAAAAACCTATATAAATCATCCCGTATTAAAAACGATATTTAAGAACATTTGGAAAATGATAAAAATTAAAATCTGAAAAAAATACTTGAGCATACGCTTTTTACAATTCTCGTATAATTTATACATTTCTATTATTATATATTTATTATTGGTAGATAATATACATTATCTCAATTAAGTGTCAATTAATACTATTCACCTTGATATTATAATACAATAAAAGCTAATAATTAATTATCATTGTTAAATTAATACATTAATAAATTAAAATGTTTCAAATATATAACTACGTTTTATATTGACCCAATTTGTGTGTGAATAATAATTTAAATTCATATATGCTTCAACATTAAAAATTTAATTTAATTTTTTTTTTTTAAGAAAATTTAACTTAAATACATTTTATTTTTTATTTTTGTAGAAGGTGTATTTAAACACAAAAACGCTTATTTTATCTAAAAAATACAAAATCAAATATTTAAATTATAACCATCATCATACCTATAGTTAAAAAGCAATATCTTTATAGTACCTATTAATGAGATACGATTTAAAAAAATTAAAATTAATTTTCTCAGTAGTTTAATTTCCTATACTGCCAAAAAGAGGACTAAAAATTTTCCAGTTTTAATACATATACATTTCTCCATACTCTCTTAGGGGCATAAAAAAAAAAAAAAGAGTCTTTTTTTATATCACGCTATACAAATAATTCGTATATGATCTAAAGTATAATTTATAATGGCACTTCAGATCGAAGTCAACAAAAAGTCGTTACACAACATTCAAAACAAAATTCAGATATCGATATCGTACACGGTTAACATTACATAGGTATATACGTACATGTAATCACGCGCATAGTTTTACAGTTGTTAAAATTAGAAACAAAACTATCCGCAGGATAGTTGCCAACGCCAAAATTCTGTTCAAATAGGTGTACATGACGTGTAGTACACCATAGCCCATATTGTATAAGTCGGTATGCAGTGGCGTATTTATATGCGGACACTATAAGCACATGCCTACAGCGGAAATTTTTGAGGGATGGCAAATTTTTGAAGGTTATACGTTTTACGGTATTATATATTATTATATTCATATACGTTTTTAGGTTTTCTGATATTGTAAAATATATTATATATACTTTTATATGAAAATAATTTAGACAATAGCTTACCCCACCAACAGTTAACAAGATATTTTCATAATTTCTTATCACCGTGTCTATATGTATAAGATTTGGGAATGTTTATGAAAGAAATCGTTTCGATAGTTCTAATAAATAAAATATCTAGCAATAAAAAATTATTCTGAATTCAGTCTTTGTTCACATTGTCATGTGTGTAAATCTTTTGTACGTAAATTGTTTCCTTTTTATATTATTAATTGACTTATTGTTATTAA